CCATTCCTGAATCTGGGAGCCCAAGGGTCGGTGATGGTTTCGGAATTTCTCTGGCAGCGCGGGAGGGCTCGGTTGATGGAGTTCCTTCAAGCGGCGACTTGTGCGGACCAATTGGAGGCTCTCTGGAGAAGGATGGACGACGATGCTGATGAAGAGGTGGATCCTTCGACAGCGGTGCTGGAAGTTCTTGGACCAGAGGGTGCGGTGCTTGATCAAGGGAACAATGAATCCCTTATTCCCATTGAAGATGCTGGAGGTGAGACAAGTGGTGACACTGGAGGGGATGGCAAAGCGCCAGAAGTTTCTCCGGAAGAGGAGACATCCAGTGGGTCATCAAGACTGGCGGACACAAGGATTTTCTTGTGGTCAGTGTACTCCCGCGTGGCTTCGAATTTCTCTATGCAGGACCGCACTACTGGTAAGATCTTTGACAGCACAAAAGGGTATCCTGGTGAAGGACCAAACAATGATGACAATCCTTCCTCTAAGGGGAACTTACCCTGGATCTCGGAAGACTACCTCGACGAAGTGGTGTCAAAAAAGATGGAAAGGTCTTCAGATATGGATGGGTTTGTTCCGGGAAGTGAGCATTGGAAAAGGTAGAGGTGGAGAATGTTACTGCCTCTAAAATTCTTATGGCTCTTTGGAAGAAGGGACATAGAGTTGGTTATAGGAGGTTGTGTCGTTTGAACGCATCTGGATGCAAGGTTGGAGCAATGAAACGTCCAATCAAAAGGGTGCAGAAGATTGGCACTAGAAAGGCCTTCATGAAGATGTTCAATGTTTTTGGATCGTCTCAGCATGGCTCAGGAGTTGGCGGAAAACCGATCATGAAGGTGGTAGGACCAAGGCCAGGTTTTCCAGCTGTACTCCAAGCACCAAATACTGATAGCACGTCGGGTGAAGGGAGCAGTCCCCAGGTACATGGCAATGTTCATGTAGAGCACAATCGCCCTATGGACCGGTATGAGGCAGAGCGCTTGGAGAAGAGGAAGAAGGGTTTCTGCTATTGGTTCGGCAAGGGGAAAGATCGCTGCAAATTCGGTGACGACTGCAAATTCATCCATTCCGAAGATGATGTGGTGCTACATTCATATTGGTGCAAATACTATGTGGCAGGGAGAGAATGTTTCGCTGGAAAGGATTGTGGGTTCTCGCATGATGCAACTGGTGTGAGGTGCGTCCAGTTTGCTCGGTCTGGGAAGTGTCGATTTGGTGACAGGTGTGTCTTCGAGCATGGTGTTCCGTTGGAAGAACAGAGGCCAAGGTCTCCAAGGACGCCCCCAAGGGATGGTCCAAGGAGAAAGTCTGGTGCAAATGGTGGAGAAAAGGAGATCTCTCCTGAACAGTTCGATGATGATGAGGAGGATTTTATGGTTTATGACGAAGAGACCAAGATGACGGAACTGTTGATGGAGGCGATTTCATTTCTCTCCGGTGGCAAGCCAGATTTGGCTCGAGCAGAGGCGGACCCATTGTTCAAACTCCTGAAGTTCACTGGAGATGCTGACCAAATGGATCAAGTATGGGTTTCGTGGACCACTGAAATGTTGACCGTGCTGGAACTTCTCGAAGTAGTGAAGTCGTATGAGGTTTCGCTCGCGGAGGTGGAAGAATGGGTCAATGACCTGAGGATATGGTATGAGCGAGCCAATTTGGGAGAGGAAAAGGATCCCAAAAGAGGTAAAAAGAGATCCCTAGAAAGGGAGTCCAGCAAGGATATTCCTGCCGAAAAAGGAGTGGTTGAGACTTCGGAGACGGAGGTTGCCGTTGAAGAAGAGAAGAAAAAGGTAAAAAAGAAGAGGAAAGCTGCAGCTATCGAAGATCCTTACACTCTCATGGTTCCAAAGCCGAAGAAGATGCCGACGATCATTGAGAAGGGTGGATCAACATCCAATGTGGTGGCTTCTGCAGTGGAAAAATCCTCGAAGACGCGCACAAAGTCAAATGTCGGTGGAAAGACAAAGAAGAGGGAGAAAAGTCAGAGTCCCAAAAAAGAAGAGGTGGTAATGGTGCAAGATCCTGAAGAAAAGGATCGTCCATCTGATGCGGATGCACCAGGGTCTGCCACTGCGAATGAAGAGCTGGGTCAATCTTGCCAGGCGATTGAGGACGCAAAGAGAGAAGGATTGGTATCCTCAATTCAAAGGGGCGTACAGGATCCTGTTCTTACAGTTTCGGACCTGGAGTATATTCTGCTGCAACTTCACCTCAAGATTGCCAACAATCGGAAAAAGAAGTGATTGGATGGTATGGATGAAGGGATAGTTTTTCTCTTTCTGGAGACGGGTGCGCTGGAACAGCCAATGTGCTGACAATGTGGTGGTTACTATTAAGGGTATGGAAATCCCTGATAGTAGAAGTCAGTAGCTTTTCGCGTAGCGAAGACCACGGTTTGTGGTGAAGAAGGCCAAGGAGTCTTCAGTGATGAGAGGATCATGGTGAAAAGAGATTCTCTATGGGTAGTAGGTTAGCCAATGTGCTATAATTCCGTCCTGGAAGACGTTAAACCACAACTTGCATTTCAAGCAGCTGGCTGCTGCCTTAATGGCAGTTTTTGGCCAAAAGACCTGCATCTCCAATGTGTCCTAGGAAATCCTAGGACAGGGGGAGTGCGGAGCTGCAATTGGTATTGTAGAAAGGAGTTAGTGTTGGAAGTTGAAAGGGTTAATGAACCCGTAAACCATGTTTGGCTCAAGGATGGCCAGTCCGTCCAAAGAAAAAAGTCCGTGTTTGGGAGTGAGGGTTGGGTTAGTGCCCCTCTACTTGTGTAAGGGTGCCCCTTCCTTGTTGCTCTTATCCGTGTTGTTGGTTGTTTCTTGGTTCGATCTGGGAAATATAAGTTCAGGGCGATTAGGGGAGTTGATTTCCTTCCTTGGTTGTCCCCCCGTACAGGGTTTAGGGTTTAGGGTTTGGGGTTTGCAAGGGCGTTGTGCCACAGGTACCTTCACAAAGTCGAAATCCCGTACAGGCAGTCCCAGCCAAAAAAAGGGAACTAATGTTTGAGCAAAGCCCTAAACCCTAAGCCCTAAACCCTAAACCCTAAACCGCTGTGTAGGATCAGCTGCTTCTTCGGCGTCCTCACAGCTAACCCCTCTGGCTGCAGCGCGGAGCTTGGTGCGATCAGGGTTTAGTGGTTAGTGTTTAGGGTGTAGGTGGCCCTTGGGATACTTTGGGTTTAGGGTTTAGGGTTTAGGGTGTAGGGTTTAGGGTTTAGGGTTTAAGGCTTCCACTCATGGTTTTACTAGGACCCAGAGTAGTAGGCCTTTAAACCAAGAAGGGTACCCTTAATTATCCCTAGGTTACTGTTGGGTTTACTGTAGGAGCGCCGAACCCTAAACCCTAAACCCGCCAGAGGGTCTGCGGGGCAGCCCTCGTTTCGGGTTTTAAGGTTTGGGCAAACCGTATTATATGGTTTTAGAAGGTGTAGGCCTGAGGAAGATAAGTTCTGGTTTAGGGATCATTCACGATTTAGGCGGTAAGGGTTTCGGGTTTAAGAGGGTTCGGAGGGGTTTTCAGGCGATTTTGCGCCGCCTTCGGCCTTGCAAGATTTTTTGCTACGGGGGACTTGGAAACAATTTCCAATGTTTGTTTGCTCGAATTCCTAAGGAACAGCTAAGCGCAAGGGAAGGGTACCAAGGTCAGTTTAGAAACCCGAAACACATCGAACATTATGAGCCCGAGCTACCCTAAACCCTAAACCCTACTTAAACCCTAAACCTTAAACCCTACACCCTACACCCTACACCCTACACCCTAAACCCTAAACTCTAAACCCTAAACCCTAAACCCTAAACCCTAAACCCTAAACCCTAAACCCTAAACCCTAAACCCTAAACCCTAAACCCTAAGCCCATCCCGCCAGTGGCTGGACGACTGAGGCCCCAAGCCTTGTGCTCAGGGAGACCAGCTGGACGTGACCCTGGATGGAGTCAGCTGCTGAGACAACTCAGGGACCTCTAATCCCCTCTGCAGAAGGGTTTAGGGTTTAGGGTTTGGGGTGGTTGGGGGGGGGGGGGTTACTGTAGGGTTCTCCCCTTCCTGACCTCCCCCCCCTACCCGCACAACCTTCGAACTTGAGAGACTCCCCATGGTCGTATGTTAACATGTTCTTGGAGGCTCATGCCCTATCCCTTGCTTGTACCTTCTTTGTGTCCGTTAGGATGCCCCTAAACCCTAAACCCTAAACCCTAAACCCTATAAACCCTAACCTCAAAACATCGGGACCGAGTAAGCGTAAACGGTTTGAGTCCACACTGAGGATGCCAGAACCAGAGCCAGGGCCGGCAGGGTTGAGGCTCTAGGCTTTTAGGGTTGCGGGGCTTTTGGGGTCAGGGTTGAGGGTGGCTTAGGGATTGCGCCCTGAACCCGAAACCCTAAACCCTAAACCTTAAACCCGCAGAAGCGTTCGCCCAAGGCCACGAGCACCATCACCTTGGGTCGCGAAGTGAAGCGCTTCGGCTGCAGTGGGAGGAGCGTCGGCATTGGTAGCAGGGTTTAGGGGGTTTAGGGTTTAGGGGAGAGAGCACGCCGATGAGCTCTTCAGCCTCAAGTGTGCAATCCTAACCCAAAGGGATGGGAGGCCAGAATTCGTCTGGGAGAAGTTCCGGATAGGCAAGAGATCTTTAAAAGTACCGCGGTTGGCATTTGCATAATATTACACTACTACTACTACTACTACTACTACTACTACTACTACTACTACTACTACTACTACTACTACTACTACGACGACGACGACGACGAAGAGGACGACGACGACGACGACGACGACGACGACGACGACGACGAAGACTAGTCGAGGGCGGTAGTTTTTGCCCCGAGTCAGCTTCAACCGCACCGCGTTCTCAATTCGAGGCTATTGGGAGCTCCTTGGTTGAGAGTTGAGGGGGTTCAGGTTTTAGGGTTTAGGGTTAAGGGTTTAGGGGTTTAGGGTTTAGGGTTGAGGGTTGAGGGGTCAGGATTTAGGATTTAGAGTGCATCTTGTTGATGTCAGATTCATGGCTGAAAAAGAACAAGTGTTGGGCTCAAAACACAGATGTCCCCAGGCTTCGTACACCATGCGGCGCGCCCCTTTGCCGATTCTTGTGCTGGCATGTGCCGCTAGGGCTGGGACTAGTTCAGGTGCCTGTGACAGTGACAACGGAGGCGAAGACTCGACTTGCGCCCTGAGTGTGTCGATGCGAAAGTCTGCTTGGGATGCAAACGAGAGCCTTGCAAGTCAAGTGCCACTCAGTGAAGGTGTTGCAGAGTGCCATCACCATGGTCGTCACGGCCACCATCACCAGCACGGTCATGTGTGTGCCTTTCCATTCATACTCGACGGTGTGAGCTACCGTACGTGTACTTCCTATGGCCATCCGGGCACACAATGGTGTGCTACGAAAGTAGACCATGCAGGCGTTGTGACCGAGGGCATGCGGTGCGCTGAAGGATGTCCACAGGACCGTCGTACGGCTCTTGAGGTGTGCAAAGCTTCATCAATGCGGCCTGGGCGTTGTGGGGCTAAAGACCCATCAGATGTAGAAGCGTGCCTGGTGAATGCCTGCCCTGCGAGGTGCGAGAAGGAAAGCACCTTTCCGTACCCGGGAGCTTCACCATCATACTCTGCACTTACAGGATTTCCTGCGATGAACGATGCTATCCTGAAGAAGCAGTTGGCTGCGGTGAAGACGTTGAAGGACTTTGCCCCTGGGTTCAGCCGAACACCGGAGGCAGCCGATTTGTTGCACAGCACGCTCTCCTACGTTTGCTGCAAAACTGAGCCGGAAGTCGAAGCTTACCAAAAGGCACTTAGCTCATTTGAGTTCAGCTGGAAAGAGGTTGGGGCCATAAAGTGGAGCGAGATCGGCTGCAGCCTGGACAGCATCACAGACCCAAGTGTTGTTTATTTAGAAGCCTTTGTGCCAACGAAGACAAATGAGAAGCTGATGCGCTTCGCGCATCGACTGGAAGATCATATGGCCAGATTGGGATTTGCTGACTCGAACCCGCGAGCCATTCCTTTCCACTTCGTGATCAGCATGCTCCCAGCGCAGCTCGCAAGTGGGCCAGCACTCAACGTTGCCGACGCCATGAAGGCACTCTCCAAGTACGACTTTGGCACCACGTACCTTTGTGAGATCTACTTCTTAGGCCTTCCATGCCTAGGCCTACCAGGCTGCCCAGACACAAAGGAGCACGAGCCGGCGTTTGGCTTGAAGACCCTCTTTGCAACTGACTGGGATGACTGCCCGTACGGTAAGAATGCGGCCGGAAAGACAAGCTACATGACTCTAGGGGGCCTCCGAATCCAGTTCAAGGTCATCGAGGATCGGTAGCCGCTGAGACGGCCCACAAGCGGCCAGACCGCTTTCTACTTTTGACCGGCACTTGCCTGGACTCTGACCACCACGTTGCTTGCAAAGCCCTCATGAGCCAGACTCGAGGCCCTGTCAAAGAACATGAATTTAGAATTAGCTGTCTATCGGCCAAACGGTTTAGGGTTTAGGGTTTAGGGTTTCGGGTTTAGGGTTTAGGGTTTAGAGTTGTCTTTCTGTGGGTATCTCCGGCTACCTGCTGCTCAGGATTGGCCAGGTGAGAATCACACGCCCTTCTTTCCGGCCTGCCGCACATGACGGCGGTTCTGTTTTGTGGGAGCACAGGGTTTTCTCCCAAACGTGGTTTTCCCTGTGCCCCCCAGTTTCCAAGCACCGCGAGCCGAGAAGCTTGGAACAATGTGTGAGGTGATGCCCCGCGGTTTAGGGTTTAGGGTTTACGGTTTAGGGTTTAGGGTTTAGAGTTTGGGGTTTTCCTTTTTGTGCGTTATTATAAGGCGGCCCTCTTATCTAGGGTACCCAAAGAAGGGACCCCCAAATTGTTGAGAACTGACCATGTGTCACAGAGTTGCAATTTCACGAGATGGAGGTATCTGACAGCATGTGAAGTAGGGTATATATTTCTGTTTCTGGTGAGTGTATATAAGGTTCCTTCTTAATATTGGTGAGTGTGTATGCCTGGTGTCCTTTTGGGGGGTACAAGAAATATATACCCTACTTCATGTGGGCAATCTTAGGTCTGGAACTTCGACGACTGCGTTCTGCTCGGACGTGAACAGCGTGGGGCGCTGAGCCTTCTCGACTCCGAACTCCTAGCCCTAAACCTTCCCGAGCGCCAAGAGGAACTCACGAAGTTACCAGTAGGGTTTAGGGCTTCTAGGACCCTAAACCTTCCCGAGCGCCAAGAGGAAGTCACGAAGTTACCAGTAGGGTCCAGGGCTTCGAGGGTTTGGGGTGTAAGGTTTACAGAGGGTTTGGGTTGAGGATGTTCAAGACATCCAGGTAGCCCAGTGTTACCCTTTTGTTTGCCCCTCTTTGTTGTTCTAGGTTCCCTTTGTAAAGTCGCCAGCCCAAAAAAGGGTACCCTTATCATAATATGGCTACTGGGCTACCAAGACTTGGTTTAGGGTTTAGGGTTTAGGGTTTAGGATTTAGGGTTTAGGGTTTAGGGTTTGGTCCGGGACCATCCGGACATTCTGCCTGCAAACCGCCTCAGGTTTTTTTTTGTAGGGTTTAGGGTTTAGGGTTTCGGGTTTAGGGTTTAGGGTTTGAGGTCAGAAGGTTTAGGGTTGGGGTTTGGGGTTTGGGGTTTGTGACAGCCCAGGCCGCTAGGATTGGGGTTTTTGGGGTTTCTTGGGTTTTGAGGGGTTTGAGGGGTTTGAGGGTTGAACCCCAAACCCCAAACCCTAAACCCCAAACCCTAAACCCTAGACCCGAACCTCTATTCTATGCCACCCAGGCTTGGGGCAACAGCTTTACACTCAGCTGCAACCTGGGAACGCTGAGCCCGGGCCTCAACATGAGTCATGCGCCCGAGAGGGCAGGAGGGTGCTTTTGAGTGGGGTTTGCGTGGATTTTTGGCGGGGCTTAGAGTTTTGGATTTCCGGCTTTAGGGATAAGGCTTGAGGGTTTTCTTGGAGTCTTCAGGGTTAGTGGCTGCATGGGTTGCGGATCTTTGGGTGTTCTAAACCTGGTGTTGCATGTCCCTCGTTACGCTACTCAGTGCTCACTCCTTACGCTCTCAATGTGGGCGTTTAAGAAAGTAACTGGGCTTTGGAGTACTATACTTTAATACTTTTTTTGGTTCTGGGTTCCTATTATTGCTACTTATTACCTAAAAAGTATACACTTTTTTTCCAGGGTCTACTCCAAAGCTAAGGTAAGGGACCCCAAATGTAGTCCCCAAATAGTAGGATTCCCTTCTCGCAAGAAACCCAAACGAGGTGCCCCGAATTTTGTAAGCCGCCCTGTGTTCCGAGGCTTCGATATTTCAAACTGCCAAGCTGCATGCGCCACCACGACCAGCTTGGATGTCACCTTGGCGGACAGCACGGTCGCTGTCCCGGCCCTACTCTTGCACTGCGTAGCGTGTTGCGATGGCCACTGTCCTGTCGGCAGTTGTGAGAGCATGACTTGGACTTGAATTAGCTACAGTTAGTATAGTAAACCCGAAACCCGAAACCCTTAAACCCTAAACCATCCTTGTAAGAACATTGTAAGAGCTGCCAGATGTCTATTACAGGTGAGCCCATCCGCCACGCTGCTCAGTGGGGAGACAGAGCCCGGGCCTCATGTCGCGTGTCCCACAGGGTCGGTTCTTCTGCTTACTTTAGGGTTTAGGGTTTTTAGGGTTTATAGTAAATAGGGTTTGGGGTTTAGGGTTTATAGGTTATAGGGTTTAGGGTTTATAGTAAATAGGGTTTAGGGCTTTTAGGGTTTAGGCTTAGGGTTTGCTTGCTTAGCCAATAGTAGAACTTTAAGCTCTTTGCGTTTGCTTATGTAGTGGGAAGAATAGAGGTTAAGCTGTTTTTCCTTGGCTCTTGGAGAAGTAGGTCTGTCCTTGTGCCCGGGCAAGGTTCAACATCGCATGTTCGGGCCTGCACGCCGGCTTCACGGGTCTCTACACGCTGTCCTGCACGGCCAGACGCCTAGATCTACGCGGACGCACCGTCCTCCATACTCTCTTTTTCGATGCTTTATAACCCTAAACCCCAAACCCGAAACCCTACACCCCCACCCTAAACCCTAAGCTTCACTGCTCAGACCGGCACCTTGTCTGCGGACATCTCCCAGTGCACCGAGCGGGGCTGCTTGGCCACGGATACGGTGGACGCCCGGCGCCCAGCCAGTGCTGCACCAGGGACTGGGAGTTTAGGGTTTAGGGTTTAGGGTTTAGGGTTTAGGGGTTTTACGGGGGGGTTGGGGGTACTCGATAACTAGGACCGAGAGCAGGCCCTTCTTCTCTGCAGGTTGTCTTGCCCTGTAAACCGAAAGGCCACCGTTGTTTCTCTAGGATGCCCAGTAGTACCCTTATTCCCTTTTTGGTAGGTTTAGGTTCCCTTATAAACCCCTTGAAGCAAAAAAGGGCACCCTTTTTCATCCTAGGTTACTGGGCAACCTAGTTCTGGACAATGATCAATGAGTGGTCTGAATCAGATGAGGCTCCCGTTTGGGGGGGGGTCCTGTGCTAAGTAGCGACTGCTTGTGGCAAACCTTCCTCGCACGTCAGTAGGGTGTAAGAAAGACAACGCCGAGATAGCACAGGAGGACTACGCACTTGGATTTTCTAAGGGTAGTTATATGGGCCCTTAGTATGGTCCCTAACCTCCTTGGACCTGGAAAGGGTTCTGATGTGCAGGGGTAAACAAGGGGGTATGTAAGGGGTACCCTTTCGCGGGCTCAGACTCAGGACCATGTGACTACCCTTCGATACTTTGCTTCTGGTGTAGATCAGAAGCTCCTCCAGCATCCACTAGTTGCGTGCACCTAAGAGCTCTGACCCCCAAAGCAGCTGCAAACCCCAAAGGCCAGACCTTCGACCCACCCAGAAACCACCCACCCCTGAACCCCCAAACCCCCAAGCCTCGAAGCCTCCAGACCCCTCAACCCTAAACCTCTTAACGCTCAACCCCCGAACCCCTAAACCCCAAACCCTAAACCCCGTAACCCTCAACCGCCGAACCCCTAAACCCTAAACCCTTAACCCCTAACCCCGAACCCCTAAACCCTAAACCCCGAAACTCCTAAACCCCAAACCCCAAACCCCAAACCCTAAACCCTAAACCCTAAACGAGGTCACAGTGGGCAGCTCCACCAACCAAGTGGCCGCTTCGGAGGCGCTCAGCCACGGAGGCAGACGGGTTTAGGGCCAAGGGGGTTTAGGGTTTGGGGTTTAGGGTTAGGGTTTAGGGTTTAGGGTTTAGGGTTTAGGGTTTAGGGTTTAGGGTTTAGGGTTTAGGGTTTAGGGTTTAGGGTTTAGAGCTCGGGGCCCTGTGGAGGGTCTACTTGTAAACCCCTAATGTGCCCTTTCAATTTTTTAGGCTTAGCTTTCAGGGCACCGGGTGCGGGTTTGGGGGTCCAGGCTTCGGTTTCCGAAGTTCTTGCGCCCCTTTTTTTAGCATCCGAATCATGTTCCCTAGGTTGAGGGTACCAGAGTAGGGCTCCCGGGCAAGTCAGGGTTCAGGGGTTTGGGGTTTCGGGTTTAGGGTTTAGGGTTTAGAGTTTAGGGTTTAGTGTTTAGGGTTTAGGGGTTTAGGGGTTTAGGGGTTTAGGGTTTAGGGTTTAGGGTTTAGGGTTTCGGGTTTAGGATTTAGGGTTTAGGGTCAGAGACAGAGAGTAAGGAGCCCGATTCTAGATGGGGGTTTCCAGGTCTGTTTGGAGGTTCAGGGGTACTTCTTACCCCAAATTACAAGTCTACTTATAACCTACTTCGAGGACCTAGAGGACTTATAAGTACAGTCATGATTCGGGTTAGAAGTACCCATGAACCTCAAAGTTGGGGTTTGGGTCCAGGGTTTTGGGCTTGGATCGAAGGGAAGTTGTGATGGCGGGAATGACTTTCTGCTTGCGTGTGGTCTGATTCAGATGATCCTAGTTTAGGGTTTAGGGTTTAAGGTAACTTGCCTCCTTTTGTACTGCTGCCCTCACATGTGGGTGCCAGGGAGGGGACCAGGCGTTTACAAGTAAGATTCCACCCGCAAAACCCTCAACCCGGGCGCGCTTGCTACCTTCCCTGTCTCGGGCAATACCCCAAAGAAAACCCTAAACCCTAAACCGTAAAGCAACATGCAACGGGCGGCAGCAACATGGTGAACCTGGAGGTGTCAGGAATCATTGATGCACTGCATCGCCCACAAGCAACCAGTTCAGGGTTTAGGGTTTAGGGTTTAAGGTTTCAACTATCCCTTGCCTTGGCAGGATCCATCGAGCAGCTTTGTGAGGAAGTGAACGCGCAGCCGCGGGCCGAGCTGCCGCGGCTGTATAGGGTGGGACTTGCATTTTGG